ATGGATGGAGGCGTTCTTTCCTGTTAGGCAGGTACAGGAGTACCACCCCAATTCTCCACATGTGGGTAGGGAAATCTTAGGTGAGGTTTCCCCTTGAAAAAGTTTTCCTTTTGGAAATGAAACTTAGGGCCAAGGTATAGTTGTCTCCAGACACAGTAAGACCACTGGGCAAAACTGGAATCTAGTTTCAGAACCACCCAAGAAATGTTTTTTTTTCTCTCTGTTTTTTTTTCTTTCTTAAATATGTGATCACAGAGGTGCTGATTGGCTTGGCCTTGGCCAGCGGCGGGTCCATCTTGGAGCCGGCTGGCATTGGCTCTATCAGACACAGGGGAAGCTTCTAGCAGCTTCTCACAGAAGCCACCCCTGTAGCGCACACACACACACACACACACACCCCCCGCTACCAAAACCTTGCCACGCAAACCCAGACACACTGATGCAGCAGCCTTCCTAGGATGCTAACATCTCCATGGTCTCCGCCCAGGCCAGACCATGTTGCAGTAGAGGGAGGAAGGGGCAGGGCTGCTGCTGTGCATGAGGTCCCTTCCACAAGTGGATTGCCTATTGAATTGCCTTCATGTCCTGCTGCAGAGCATGTGCCCATGTGGATCCCACCTTTTCTCCACCTATTCCCATTTACTGGCCCCTGTGCTCCCACTTTTGTTGGCCTCAGGTAACATCATCTGCTTAAACTTTCCCAACCAAATAGTGCCAGCTCCCTGCAGGGCACTGGTGTGCCTCTCTGTCAGTGTGACTCCCTCCCACCTATGAAAGTGATTCCTCTCTTTGTGTCCCAGAGGGGAGAATTTGTAGTGGAGGCAAGGTGAGAAGGAGATTTGGCTCCTAAGCCAATCAATAGGAGTAGTTCTGTGAATGACAGTGGGTGGTGGCAGGAGCTGCTGAATCCCATAGCCCAGCAAATGCAAGTCTGCTGCAGCTCCAGGTCCCCAGCTCCAGCTGGTAGTGAGGCTGAGTGTGTATGTACAATATGTGCATATACAGGTACATATAGAAGAATAAGAATACATACACATAAGCAGCCCCACAGGTCAACACAGGCAGAAAGCACTGATGCAAACACAAACAGCGTGAACAGCATGATCCTGTTCCCCTCCCTGGCTGCTAGCAGGGTGAAAGCCTGCTAGCAGAAAAAATACATGTTTACACATATACAATATGGACCCCTCCAGCAGCGAGGCTTAGTCATTCAGTCTATCCATAGCTGGCCCCTGCATCCCCTTGTTTTCCCTATACTGGCATGTCTCATGCCAGATGCATAAAGAAGAAGGTCTCTCCGGTAGCTCGTTAAGACTTCTGGTCTTCCCAGTAGCTGCCTCTCAGACCCCTAGTCTGCCTGGGAGCTGGCTTGGACGTTAGACCGTGCTCCATTTTTAGTGACGAGGTTTCTGGCGTTCATAACTGCCTGACGTTGTTCAACCACATAATCTGACAGGTAGGAAGAA